CGCTAAGTTTCAAACTTATTAGGCATAAATTCTATCTGGTAACTTCTGATAAGATTAGTCTCGAAAAACAGACAGATAAGTTAGTCCCACGAAAAAGGAAAAAAATCTTGAAATTGTATATAAATAATAAAATTGGATAAATCTGGATAAAAAATCTTGAAATTCGCTTTCTACAATTCATATCTGCGGCACGACATTAAGCAGTCCAACGGAGCTATGAATTTTAAGCGCAATAATTTCATGAAGAAGAAAAGAGTTGAACCTTATTTGTTCATAACTCCACCTGTACTGTGTTGGTCATCTCCTTGATAGCCGCTGTATCAGCTAAATCTACAGTAAGACTAGCATCGCGTTCCAGCTCATTCAGCCAATGTCGCAACTGCGTCAACGACTGCCAATTCGCTGTGTCGCGAGCGTTCATGTGTGGAGGCATCCTTCTGAATAGAAAAACCTTGGTTTAGTTCTTGGCAAAGGATAGGCTTGAAACTCACGGATCGCGCTTCTCCTCGTCTTTTGTGGAACTCTCTGTGGATTCTAATCGCCCTTGGTACTCGGGTTCAACAGTGTCTTCATCTGTGATTTCGCCGTCTTCATCGATCATTTCCTAAAATTTATGGGATAAAAAGTTTTGGAAAGAAGGAATAGCGCACACAACAGATGATGAGGAGTTAGAAACGATAAAAAGAGTGCTCTGCAACGATGCTAACTGTATTGTGAAATCTCCGAAGTCTTTTTTTTCAGGCTTGACTTCACATGCAGATAACGCATAAATGTCGCTTTAAACTATAACATTCCTGATGTCGAGAGACACAGAGAGATCGATCATGGAAAGCTACTCTTGAATTGAATTTTAATGAACACTGAGCAGATGTAAATGTGATAGGCAAAAGTCTCCCGCTTTTTTTGTCCAACACTTTTATTTTTTAGCTATTTAATTCACTGGACGAAAGTTGTTGATAATCACCAGCGATACTATTTATATCACCCTGCAATGTAAGGACTATACATTTTTGGATCGTACATTTTCTTGATCCAATCTGTAAGAGAAGTTTACTCTTCAGCGTTTTTAGAAATTAGTAAAGATATAAAGCGCCAACGAATCGCAAGCTTTTTCCTCCTTAAGTCCTTAATTCAATCTTCTGGTGTTCATAGCAACTTAAGCACCAATCTCCTACCATATACGAAACTTAAGTTATGACAAAAATAAGAGATTTCAACCTAGGTCGTGTACCTGCTGCATGAATTTTTAATCTGCGGCTAGGCGTCAAACAACTACGCCAGGTATTTTCAGAAGCTTCGAAAATAATGTTCTCTATCAATTCAGCTTTCACATATGTAGAAAGATATATAGTAATTTGCTTTGAGCATGTGTTGGTTATAAAGACGGGAGCTGCAATGACCTAACAGGGTATAGATTTTTTTGGCTCGCATTTACTATAAATAGAAGAAATGATAAGCCTTGACGTTT